TACACCCTAAATATAGGTCTTGCTGTTCAGAGCCACTAGCCGCAGTTTATCTTTTTAATGGAATTTTTTCTTCAAACAGAACATAGACTTCCTGATATAGGTCCATGGAGAGCAAGCAGTTTAGATTTTTGCTAATAACTTGTATTATTATTCTAGATTGAAAGGCTTAGAACAAATCACCAAGTCCACTATGCTTGGCCACCTCCTGCCAGTACTACTTACATCTCTCATGCACCCCAATCTGCAGACCTTAACAATGGCAGATGCCCTGATGCCACAACTAGTGCAACTTGTACTCTACACTAGTCAGGTAAGACATACAATATAGCTGTGAATTGTAAAATGCTAGTTATGTGTGACATTTTTTTCTCACATAGGACAAGTAGTCAAATTGCTCATGTTGTTTTAGCTTCAGATGTCATCCTCATCCTTTTATTTTCTTTATTCAGACGGCATTATTGCTTAAAACCCAGTGTACTACTCTGGCAGATGTGGGAATTTCCCCAAGTTGGGTATCAGAGCAAAAAAACAAATTATCACCAGATAACAGGTAATTTATGCTACTCTAAATTTTATTATGTGCTTGCTAGATTTCTCTTTGGTTTCCTGGTAAATTCCTGGAGCAGTGTCCTCCTAATCCTCTTGCACGGAATTGTAATGATAAATCTCCCCATATTTTCTAAAGCGCTGTGCAAAGTGTTCTATATAAATCCTGTATAATAATAACAATGTGCTCCTGGATAATGTCCCAATACTTTGGTTTTGTGCCATATTTATGAGTGGCCCATGCACCCTGTAATCAGGTGACTGTAGGTGACTTTACCAGAATTATACTGGTTATTTTTACTGGGTCCATCACTGCTTTGTCACCACTCACACATATGCTCTTCTTTTCTTACCAATGGATTAATTGTTGTGTTCTAGGATGCTTGAAGAGAAGGAGGAGCCTGGTTTTCTTACTGGACTAAAGATTCCAGCTCCATGGGCTGCTGGAAAGACTGTGGAGACAGCACATCCTGTTAGAGACAATTATAAGTTCAAAGAAAGTGTACACATACCCGGGGCTCGATGTCTCTACCTCCGCTTTGACAGCAGGTGTTCCTCGCAATATGATTATGATAAGGTTTGTTTTTCTTTATCATTAAGAGTCTGATTTATTAGATGGTTTTCTAAGCACTGTTGATAATATATGTAATTTGTTAAATGATACTTTTGAATACTAACCTGCCACATACTTGGACTAGAGCTACACATGCAGTTTTTAGTATTTTGCAGCTGAGAGATTTTAATACTTGATAGTCATCTGATAAGCAGCTCTTATTTATTTGTGCTGCAAATGAGGTGATTGCCAACAAGTGTTTAAAGCCCCACTTCGGAATAACGTGCACCTCTCCGCATCCTATTACAGTCAACAACGATGTCGCTCCCTGAGCAGCGCTTTTGATTGGAACAGTGTAGAGGGGCCACTGCTTGTGTGTGAAAACAGTACGACTCTATAATGTGCTGACAGCAACACAGGGTATTTTGTTGCCACTGCTGCAGCACTTGGCAACTAAAGAAAACCTTAAAATAACAGCTTATTTATTACTGTATATGCATCCTGCTGATTTCTTTACCATCATAAAAAGGATTCAATTAGGATTTCAATCTTTAAGTAGCAAGAGTTGATCTGTGACTGTGTAGTCTCTAGTAGGGTATACACGAGTCGATTTCTGCTCACACGTTCGTATGAAGTATACCATCGGAACGTTCGATACTGGCATCAGAAACTTGCCGATTTTTGTCGTTCAAAATTTAATTCAATTTTCGCTTTTATTTACCATTCTATTTTGGATTACATGGAGTTTCCGAACGAAAACCACGTTGCCTGTTGGAATAGATATTCGAACATTCCAAAAACGACTTCTATTATTCGAAATTCTAACCATGTACTGGTGAAACTCGAATAATTAGAATATCGTGCAAAGTTCATTTATTTCACTAATGCAACTTAAAAGGTGAAACTAATATATGAGACTCATTACATGCAAAGCAAGATAATTCAAGCCGTGATTTGTCATAATTGTGATGATTATGGCTTACAGCTCATGAAAACCCCAAGAACCCCAAATCCACAACCTCAGAAAAGTAGATTATTACATGCAATCAATAAAATAAGGATTGTACATAGAACAATATCGGACCTCTGAAAAGTACAAGCATGCATATGTACTCAGTACTTGGTTTGGGCCCCTTTTGCAGCACTTACTGCAATTACTTTTGCGCGATATTCTAATTATTCGAGTTTCACCTGTATACCCTACTTTAGCCTGTATCACCTTGTTTATGTTTCTGCTTTTCCAGTGGCCATTAAGAAAAGGTTCTCCTTGCACAGCTTAGATCCAGACGTGTTTTACCTATGTAGTTTTATTTATATATGTTCTGTATTTAAATATGCAGCTGGTGATCTATGCTGGCCCTAACACAAACAGCCGGAAAGTTGCAGAATATGGAGGAAATACACTTGGATATGGAAGTAGAAGTGTACTGGGAACAGGCTGGCCAAAGGATTTGGTGAAGGTACCATTCCTGTCTTCTACAATTTATTAGTGGGTTTGTAGGTGTCGTCATGTTCTGTTCTGTGATTTTTAGGAAAAACATTGCTTACTAGTAGTCACTTTACAGTGTTTGTAAAAGCATATAAAGTAAACTTGTCTCATCAGCTAGCTTAGTTTTTGATAGCTAATGGGTGGTGTCATTTTGTCATAAATCCCGATTTGCTACAATTAAATACAATGTCATTCATATGTCACTGTTTATAATTGTTTAAGAATACTGCACTGGTCATTGGATATATTTTGAACTGCTCAACTTTTTCTGTGTATAAAGACAGATATCCCATAATTTGTATTTGGAAGCCACTAAAGAGGAGGGAATCTTTTCCAGATCATACGAATCATGGAAAAGCAATTTTTTTTTTCTCATTCGTTGAACACAGGAGTGCTATACTGTCGGGTTTTACTGCCACCTACAGGAAGATTGGACACTGGCCAGCCCAGGATAATTACTCCTTTACCCCGGATGGCTAAAGCTCTGCTAAGAAAAGACTAACCAATTTTTGCTAGACTTTTCTTTTTTTTAAATTTATCTGCTTCTATTAACTTGAGTGTGTTGGTACTTTTCCTTTGAAAGAACCAATGCCCTCTGTGGATCTGCTAGTGACCCCATTTTACAGAAATACAACCAGACCAGTAAAATGTGCTTGCCTTTAGGATTCTACTGACCAACAGTTATGATGCCTCCCATAAGCTACTTGACTAGTTCTGCCCTCTGACAGGTTTTGGCAATGACCTTAATCTGTGAAACCATGCAGAATGGGTTTGATTTTCCTAATAGAGCGGGTGGAGCAGATGTCTGGGGCCATACACGTCAGTTGTGATGGCTTGTTAAAAGCATCTACTGTAAGCTTGCATCCCAAATATGTCTGTTGTTTATTGAGATGCACATAGCACACTGATTAAGGTGCTAGGATGCTTTAGTAACTCCGCCCAAATATACAGTTGCTCTACAACACCAGTGGATGTTTCACTTGGCTTCTAGTCCTGTGATCAAATATTACCTTACTGGCACAAGTACACCAGCTGTTGACACAGACTCTGGGCTTTGTTATGCCTCACCTCCCGGAATTCTATGTCCTTGCTATAGTACCAAGTCATTTTTTGAATTGAATTTTAAAAAATGTGGTGCCCATGGTTAACAACACTTCCGAGCCTGGTACACGTTTTGAACCAACATCAGTAGGGCTTGGTATAAAGTGCTCCAAATGTTTTTAATGTATTTCAACCACTTTATAATACATAGTAGTTTTTTTAGTTTTTTTTTTATTTTGGTTGGAGTAGACATAGAGTAGTGTATAAATGTGAAAAAAACAGTGTATAAATGTGAAAAAAACAGAAGTCCACCCAGAAGTTGGTTGCTTCAAAAGCTAGAAGCAAGGCATCTGCCAAGCCCTCAGAGAAGCCTTTGACATGACAGTTTGCCCCATTTCTCCAAGTATGGGATTGGTCTGTAATTTTTGGGAGTTCTTGGGTAGTGTGCCCTTCATGTATACATGTGCAGTAAGCATCTCTTCAGGATCACAGGCTAATCCCTGGCCTCTTATCCCTTTGTCAACTCAAACTCTGGAGCTGGCTTTCAGACCACCACTCTCTACAGCAGGGGTGCCCATAAGGTCGATCGCGATCTACCAGTCGATCGCATAGCCAAGCGGTGAGGAGAGAGAGACGCTCGGCCAGGATCTGACAGCCGGCACCTCTCTCTCTCTCTGCACAGCTCGGCCTTACTTCTGTGACAGTGGCTCCCTCCTCCGATGCCCTGCGGCTGAAGTGCTTCTTTTACTTCTCGGATCCCCCGCTGCCTCTGCCCGGCAGAGCAGGGGGGATCCAGAGGAGAAGCTGAGCCCCCATGTGCGTGGCCAAGTGGGAGAGGATCGGTACATATCAGTGATATGTACCAATCCTCTGTGCAGGACAAACACTGGAGAGATCAGCTGATCACTACAGTGTTTGTGAATAACTGGGGACACATAGTACTATGTGTCCCCAGTGATGAATGAACAGGATGTGATTTACATCACTCCGTGTTCATTCATGAGTTTCTCAATGGGGAGAAGCACTCTGAACAGAGGCTCCTCCCCATTCACAAACTGGAAGATAGTAAAATAATTTCTGAATGAATGGGATGCCTCTACACCTCTCCCCATGTGCAACGTTGGCCACACGAGCACCACGAGAGGACAGGGCGCTGGGGCCTCTAGGACGCACTGGAATGTAAACCGGCCGACTCCCTGCGTTCAGGGGCAGGAGGGGCTGTGGGGGTGTATTGAAGTCAATGGCACCGCAGCCATTCCCCCCGCCCACAGTGTGATTGCCCCTCAGCCGGAACGCAGGCACATTAGGGCCTGCATTCCGCTCCAGTGCGATCTGCAAAAATAGTGCTCACAGCATTTTTGCAGATCGCACTGGACTGGAACACAGGCACTCGTGTGCCTGGGTTCCGGGTGCAGGAGATCGCACTGTGGGCGAGGTGCCTGGCTGCGGTGCCATTGACTTCAATCTACCGCCACGCCCCCTCTCGCCCCTTAATGCAGGTGTTTTTTCGTTGGTAGATCTCATTAAGCTCGTCATTTGAAAAGTAGATCTCCAGACGAAAAATTGTGGGCGCCCCTGCTCTACAGGATCCCTTTACCCCTTAGTGCTATCCCTTTACTAGGTTAGCAGGAACCCACATTGGCCAGTCTATAGTTGGGTATGAACTATTAGATGCCTAATGTCACTTTTGCAGCCCATTGAAGCTGAACAAGCACAGATTGTGCTTGATCACCTTCTTCCCCAGCCACCAGAGAGGCTCGGGGAATGACGGTATAGAAACCAGAAGGGAGGCAGTGGAGCCTGAGAAACTGGGCAGAGGGGGTATCAGGTGGACAGGGCTGCACATTTCAGAGCCCTTGGAATTGATCGAGCGGCTTCCAGTGTAAAGCAGACAGTCGGCTTTGCGCATGCTGCCGCTGACGTATGCCCATAGGGTTAAGAGACACAGGTTCCACCCCTGTTTATGTTCATGGTCTTGGAACTATTAGCTACAACCTGAGTCATGCTGAGTAGAAGAGGGATTAACCTAGGATTTCACAGAGTTAAAAAAATCCTATTTTTGTCATTCTTTTGGATCATGTAAATGCTGATTTGTGCGATCTGTTACAAACTACAATATTCATGCTTCCTAAAATCTGAGATTTTTTTATAGGCTGCTTATCCGTAAAAGCCACACTGTTGTCAAATATGTTTGCACAAATAGAGAATTACAGCTTGGAATAATTAAATTGAATGGAATAAACTGTATCTGTTCAATGATAAAGGTATTACCTAAAGTTCAATGACTATAAAATGATTTTTTATATCAGTAGATAGTCAGATATTGTCCTGTCAAGATACATGATGCATGAGCAAAGCTGTCATAGTTCATTTCACTAAATCAAGCCATAACATTACCTATTTTCCAGTTTCTAAACATAAATATTTTATTACTGAATCACGAATTTCAAACAACGGTCTAGATTCCATTTAAAGGACGCTTGTGCTGAGCACAGTGTTCTGATGCTTCTTGAATTAAAATAGATTCCTTAGGTTCCATTAGAGTGGAGCTCTGGTTTATATTTTTGTCATTTCCGATTTTCTTATTCTAGCCCAGTAAGTGATGTCTGCTTTATGTTGTCAGGTAGAGGGCGATACTGTCACATTTTCTTTTGAGATGAGGAGTGGTCGTGAGCATAACACGCCAGACAAGGCTATGTGGGGATTCTCCTGTACTGTTAGGGCACAGGTATGTATGTTCTTTAATACTTACTAAACAAAATGTTAATTGAATATGAGATAATGTTCTATATCTTTGAACTCACAACACAGCATTCCATTTAATTGTATAAGCAGCTTTATCTTAAAGGAGAACTATGGGGTTAGTGCATTTCCCCATAGTTCTCCTTAGGGTAACGGGAGGACACAAACTAGCGTCCTCCCGTCACCCTAGGCTCAGTACTGAGACGCCGCAGTATACCGCGAGCTACAGCTTGCGGTATACTGAGACGCCGCAGATGAAGCGGATCCCGACAATTATGTCTGGATCTGCCCAGCTGCGTGAGTGACAGCTGGCTCTGCCTATCTAGAAGCAGAGCCAACTTTACCCGCCCCCTCCCCGCAGCAGCTCGCGGTATACTGCGGCGTCTCAGTACTGAGCCTAGGGTGACGGGAGGACGCTAGTTTGTAAGAGAACTATGGGGAAAAGACTTCACACTATAGTTCTCCTTTTAAAGTTCTTGTTCCTCTGACCTTTACCTATTTGGGTATATGTTGGTTTATTGATTTCTTGTGTTTATATCACCCTCGGTACATCTTCACAGATCAGCAGTAATGAACATTAATTTTTATGCATGTGAAGTTCTTGGGATGAGATTTCTAGTTTCTAAAATCTATTAAAAAAAAAGCTTGACTGTTTTATGTGTTCGGTATTAAGGGCTCACTGAAGGTTTTTGATTTAAGTATATGTTAATCCAGTCATTAAAATCTCATATAAGCTTTTAACATGTTTGTCATTCCTCAAGTCATTTTCCCTAATCATCTTCCAGGACAGCAACCTGAGAGATGATTTGGTTCCACCTTCTACAGGAAACACAATTAGTAAAATAGTTAAAAGCCCCCCCCCTTCCCCTCGTACCTCAGTTTTAGATTGTGTTTCCTACCGTCCAGGACCACGTCACGTTTGTTCTTTTCTTCCTGACCGGTTGACCTTGAGGTCACGGATCCCCCTCTGTGCGGCTCTGCTGTTGAAGGGGTTTTTCCTCCCTTCTGGCCTTGCTGTAGAGCGGAGGGTTTTTGTTCCCCTATGTTATTCTGACAAGCCAGGATCTGGTTCCTTTCCTCCCTTAAGGATCCACTCCTGAGGCCCCCAGGCCTGTGGCCCTGTCCTGCTTTCCCTTGCTTGATGTAAGGGAGCTTGTAGTGTGGTTTCGTAGCGGCGTCCGGCATGCTGGGGCAGTGTATTGGGCGAGCAGTGGACTGAGAGGCGCTTCCGGTGTGTTCCAAGCCTCGACTTGGAAAGCATGACGTCACTTCCGGTCGCGGGTGATGACCTCACTTCCTACCTGCTAATCCCGCCTATTTTAAGCGAAACTAGACCCACCAATTAATGGTCTCCCAAAACTTACTGTTACTTTCAAGGCATACCTTCGCTAATAACTGTCAAGGTTGTCAGTGTGCTTATTTCAGCTCTCAACCAAACGTTCAAGCCCCCAAATGGCTCGTGTCATAGCTGACCACATGTGCAGAATCATGGCAACTGCAATCCAAATAGAGGCCAAGGTGGTTTCTTTCTTGTTTGAAAAGCATAAGAGGTTGTTGTTCTGCTTTTAAGGTCATTGTGCAGACACTTCGAGGGAATAATACTCTGTCTCCCGGTTGTGCTCCTATGTTGTCACCCTGTCATATGCTCTGCCAGGGAGACTAAATAATAGACACCAGGAGCGCCACAAAGAGATGTAGTACTATATGAGATGCATTCATTTCAAATAATGCTGATGTTTCTTCTACAAGAAAAGCCATCGTACAACAGCTATTTACAGATTTTGAAACCTGAAATTAAATATAATTGACTTTTAAGCTTTCCACCTGTTGGTTATAGAGGGACAGCATATGTTTAATGTGATTTATTTCACTTTTTGTTTTAATTTGCGAAAGAAAATCCAACCTGTAAAGTAAAGGGTTAATTTGTTGACCTCTTCATCTAACATCTGTAGCATTTGGCTCACTTCCGGTTATATCAGATGTTTGGTCTCCTGCAGGGCATCATAGTTCCTGTCTCTGGCCCTATGTCACTAATGTGCCCTGTAGGGGTACCAGGCATTCAACACTACCAGTGGAGCTTCTAAAGACAGTGGCCATTGATGCCATGGGTGCCGCTCGGGGGATGTATTAATCCTTTACTTTCATGGAAGATCTTGCTTTTACAAATTTTAAAAAGTGACTTTAAAGTAGAAGTCACCTACTGTAACATTCTTTCTTCCAAAGAATTGTCAAAAAGCAATGTACCTTACTTTTGAACAGCATACTCGTGGTGCAGTCACGACATGTATTTTACAGGAGTCCTCTGAAGATGTGTCTGGTGGGTTACCATTCCTGGTGGACCTGGCTTTAGGGTTATCTGTGTTGGCCTGTTCCATGCTGCGCATACTATACAACGGACCAGAGATCACTAAAGAAGAATTGACCTGCCATGATCTTTTAAGGTCAAAACTTTTACAGAGGTAATGAACATTTATTTACAAGGAAATTGGTCTGCTAATTATTTCAACACCAGTCATTAGTTTTAATTTGCTAGCTTAATTTAGTGTAAGCATATGCGTCATTTTAATTCCAATGACTATACTGAATATAAATAAAGCTGCATAGCATTTAGCAAATGTCATATGTTTTTAGGTTAGTGTTAGTAATGCGTTTCCTCGCTCTGCGAGGGGGGATTTCCAATATTTGTATTCACTTCTTAAACCTAAACTGTATAACTATTCTTTGTTTCTATGTAACTATATTATCATAATGCATTTTGTATTTTAAGGTGTCAATGGCAGGTAGAAGCCAATGGTGCATTATCGCCAGCCCTCACCCCAAGTCCATCTCCTCTGCCACTTACCATTGACGAAGACAGGGAGTTTTCATATCCCTCTGACATACTTCTACCACCAGCAGGAAACTACTTTGAGCTGCCCAGAATCAGGCTGCCTCCAGGCATTATGATTAAACTGAGGGAAATATCAGGACGTGCCCGACCTCAGTTCAGGCCAAGCATAAAGTAAGATGTTTTTTACAGTATTTTTTTCTTTATTACGTTGATATTCCTACTCGCATTTATTGGTAAAAATCTAAAACTCCAATTTATGGCGTCCGTGAGGAACTTTAATGGAAAAACAACTCCAACCAAAACTTTTTGGTTTTAGACAGGTTTTGAATGATGCCTATGGTGCAATTAGGAAGGTACAGAGAGTGATGGAAAATCTCTCAAACAGGGAAAAGATGTGACACATTTTTAGCAGTGGGCAATGGGTTTAGAGCTTCTGACAATGTTTTTATTGCCGTCTGTTCCTTCCTGTGATGTCCCCACCCTCCATTTTTTTTTTTGGTATTGGCATCACAGAGAGAAAAATTGAGAAATAAAAACACCCCTGTGGAGGTCACAGACGTGATTTAGAACTAACAGTTTAATTTCTTGCCATTGTGCCCAAAATTAAGAACATTTTTTGATGGAGTTAGACTTTAAATTACATGTCCAGCAGTATCCAGTCCACTTTTGGGAGGTAGAAAGTATTAAAACACCAGTCTGGTTTTAATCGCTATCCATGGCACCATAAGTGAGATTTTTCCCTCACTGTCCCAATGACAATGGTTTTACCAGTCAGTGAGGAAAAATCTTCAGTAGTAACATAGACAGAAATGGAAATGCTTTTCTCTTCAGTAGAATAGCAGCAGGCTAGAACCCCATGTCAGCTTTTTATTTTTGTCTGCGTCCTTGTTGCTGAAATCACTCCTACAGAGCATCAGATAGCAGCCGGTTCTAATTCTTCCCCCACTGTCGCAGTAGCGATTATCTATGGATTACAGCACACCCTAGTGGACACCCTCTGCTTGTCACTCTTGTCATGTTAGCCAGTGATATTCTTTAACAGTCTGGAGGGACAGGTTGCTAAAAGACATTGTAGCTTTTGTGTAGGTCACACAGAAGGCATTTGTTTTAGCATCTGATTACAATCAGGCTGTTATGGAAGCTTGCACTGAGTGAACTTGTAGGCTGCCATTGCTGTCCTCTTATTATTATTGCTGGTTGCCTGGCTTCCATGCTCATCCGAGTGCTTCAATACTTTTTCCTTTACTGACCTAAACATTTATGCAGATCAGTTTTGACTTTGACTTTTCTGGGTCAATGACTCAAAATGTTGGAGCCAGAAACGGGTAACTAGCCCTTTCTAAAGTTAGTAAAACTGAGCTGTTGTAATCATTCCAAGGTTTCCATGAATGTAATATTTTTGTGTTCCTCCAATACAATGGCAGTAGAGTTTTAATTCAGTAATGTACCATTTGTTCAGGTGTATTTCACAGACAGTCCTTATTTAGGAGAAACACACAAAGGTTTTGCTACAGTGTACAATGTATAATGTTTTTAATAAGGTGTTTGCCCTTATACATAAGTTGAGTATCTTGGGAAAGGTTCACCATAGGTGTTGCAGCCCTAGAATGTAAAAATTTTTAAGAATTTTAAGAGAGGAGGTTACGGCATTGGTAGAGCTCTTCATAATTTCCAAGTCCATTTAAGTTTAGGGATAGATTACATCACCTCCTCTTTCCATATCAGCATATAATGTAATCTAGATATTAGCAGAAGGAGAGAGACAAGAATGGAAAATCTACCACGTGTTTTAAAAATTCGACAGGGAGTGAATTTAGGGGGTTCAGTAATGTATGTTTTAAATGTATTTAAGAAAGTCACCATTGGTTATTGTAAAAGCTGGAAGGGGTCCACTCTGTCTAGTTTAAGAATAGATTAAACGGACAAGAACACATAATGCCAGCTCTCATTTTGATCTTTTAAAACATGCACTATGTGTCTGCTTATGTGCCCTAACTGTACTTCTGTTTGCTTCCCTCTAATATCTAATTAGTTATTGAAAATTGTTTCTAAATTCTTCACGCTTATGGACTTTCAACATTGATCTGTCTTTAGGAATATTATGAAATAACACTGGTTACTTGCCTGATCTAATTTTATGAATACAGTGGACTTTAGTGTCCTTGGTGTGTGCTGGGATACTGTCACCACCTCAAGTACCACTTTCTTTACAATGCTGCACAAACATTTGTTCTCTACTCATACAGGTGTAGTATGTGGAAGGAGGAGGATGAAGAGTGGCCTTATATTTCCAGCAGTCACTTGACAGCAGTGAAATAGTATCACTCGGGCAAGGTTTTCCATTGTGTCCTTGACATTATATATACTGCAGAACAGTCAATCGGGTTTATATGCAGGCATGATGACCATGATATGATTACCCTGTGTGATCGTGCTCAGACACTTCAGAGATCAGAAAAACTGACAAGGAAATAATGTAACAGGGAATTATTGAGAATAAAAAATACCTGCATTTCATGCTTCTCTCTAGACTAGATATGTAATACAGTTGTCTTTCTTTAAAGGGAAGTTATCCAACCAGATGTGATGGAGGAGATGGTGGTGTCCTGTGTCATTAAGCACCTGAATTTGGTTGATGCCCTTCAGTCCTTGATAAACTATCAGTACAGGGAGGAACATCTAGAGGAATATGACCTGTTATGTAAAATAATAGGAGAAACGTTTAAGAAACTGAGCGCTATGGAAAGACAGTTACAGGTAACACTTCAGCAATTGTGATAACCGTTGGTCTCCATATTATGTTTAAATCTATGTATAAATATGTTCTCTCTCTCTCTGCGCCTATTGTGTAATCTGCATTGATCTTTTTCACAGAGCGTTGCTGAGCTGGAACAGAAGTGGCAGAATGAAGTGGAAGATGCTTTAAATGGAAAGCTAGAGAACAATGCTCCGTTCTTTTATGACTATCACTATAATGAGGTATAGAAAACCATAGGCTATATTATGATTTCCGGTTATTTCTCTAAGCTATTGTTCTTCATTAGTGTTCAGCTGCAGCAGTGTTTTTACCTTATCTGTCTTCTTAACCCACAGAGCAAAATAAAAGAATTAGAGCTCTTGTGCTCCATGAAAGAAATACTTTTTGATGGAAGTGATCCTGAGAATATGGTTTTAGCTCTCAGGTAGGTAAAGCTGCCAGTATTCTTAGATTGAATGATTCTCCTAACTCATTTAAACTGTAATTGTTATTGATGGGAAAGTGATCTTGAAATTGGTGCAGCTGCATTAAACATGTCCTGGATAAACAAATACAGCTAGAAGTCAATCTACTAAATTTGACAATTTGGATAATTCTATGCATTTAAAGTACAACTGTCCGTACTGGTTGTGTTCCAGCTTGAAATGAAGGAATCTAGCAGTGCTAATACATGTACACTGGCCATGCACTGCTTGAATTTCATCCGATTTCATGCTGGATCGGTGGATTTACAAATCCAAGGGTGGTCCTGTATGGCTGAATACAGCAGCTGGCACCAGGCATTCCTCTATCTATAGATATAAGTGATTCTGCGCTGGACCTAGAAAAGTGTATAAGTGCTAGTGTGCCAATTAAGTTTGAAGGCTGCAGCAAAATCGACCGTAGGGTCAAAACAAATAACTTACAAATTATGCAGCGCCCGCAACATGTAATGTGTTGAATATCATAAACCCTAAAATTAATTAAATATAAATATAAGATGATTTTAATAAATAAATCTAAGTGATTCAAATAAATAAATTATATTCATATAACATACACATGAATATTCCGTGCCTTCAAGATCTTTTTTTATATAAGAAAAAACCATCAATGGCCCTGGATCATTGATCCCACAGGGTATGTGAAATAATTAGTGACAACTACAAAAAATTGTTAGTTGATGTGATGTGTCACGATCCAAAACAAAACAACTGTTCAAAAAATATTCCAAAAAAGGCAAATGTTCAAAAGAAATTCCGTGAACTGTGTTGGGGATAAGGGTTAATACCACCTATATCCCCTCAAAAGGTGCACTCACCGTGAGTAGTGGCTGTGATAAGCAGCCGGAAAACGCTCAAACAGAAGCTCCCAGGGCTGAAGCATCCATCCACCGTCTCGTTGTGCTCGTGAGTAGTGGCTGTGACAAGCAGCCGGAAACCGCTCAGTTGTGCTCTTCAGTGAAGGATATGTCTCCTTCCATTCCTTTTTGTTTTCTTGGTAACTTCATCAACAAAGGTGTTGGCTAGGAATATTTTTTCACACACCTTTGTTGATGAAGTTACCAAGAGTGGTGGCTACTTTACAACACACACCGGGACCATGGGGAGCAAAAGTAGCCCCCTTCAGAACAAAGGACAGTGTCAGCACAAATTCAGAGGTGATTTGAGGATCTGCAGCCGAGTGATACATAAATAAGCTACATTTGTGTTAATGTACTTGAGTGCATTTTTAAGATTTAACTCCTGAGTTTAGTGCCACTTTAATTTGGTGTGACAGTTTAAAGAAACCATTGAGGTACACAGGAAGTCTTAACATTTGTGTTTTTACTGCTGCCTTCAGGATGATTGAATGCTGGCAAGCAACTGTATGCCAGCCCAGGATCACCCTCCCCACTATCAGCATGCCTCAGGTTTTTGCTAGTGTCTTGGCTGGTTGGATGTATTTTCTTGTCACAGCTCTGCTAAGACACTTCTATTCATTGCTGCTGAAGCTCCGTCTCTACGATTGCAACTTTCTGGCACAGGTTTCCTCAGCGTGGCTTTTGAAGTAACGCATCTGCACCCTGCTGGACTGGACTTGTGGAAATTGCCTGGAAGTGACATTCAGGCACTGGGTTCTATATAGGGTGCTTCCCTATAGGTGCTTCCCTTCCCTTTTCAGGTCCAGAGCTGTTGTCATTGCCTCAACACTTACCCTGTTTCTGATGACTCTCTTAGGCAGGTCGGGCTGAACACCTTGGGCTACCTCAGTTGCTTAGGTCGCTGGTCACCTTTATTCCCTGTACCTGACGGTTCTTCTGCAGAAGGAGCTAATGCTTTAGGCTCACTGCTGATGTCATTAGCTGAGTAGAGTGTCACAGGTGTGCTCTTTGACCTTTTTTCTGCCATGCAGCATCAAGGAAGCATCTCCCTGCTTCTGCCTCTGCTGAAAAGAGCCATGTGGAACTTTTTGGTTTTCGATCCATTTCCGCTGCCAGCCTACAGTGACTTCTGCCACCTCAAGCCATCCGATTCACATCTGGTACCAGCTTTTTACTAAAGAGTGATTCAGGCTGTAATGTCAGTTATTAACTTCTACAGCCTGCATCAGGCACCCCCACCATGCATTCCTGGGGTAAGAGCACAAGATACAAGACATTTTGCCCACATTTCAGCTTTGAGACTTCCTGTGTCCCTCAATGGACGAGAGGGAGAAAATAGATTTTGTGTACTTGCCATAAAAAGTAGTCCATTGAGGGACGCCGGTTTACAATCATGCTCCCTGTACTGCTTTGCTACAAAAGTCATGCTAGTAGTGGTATGGTGTTATCCTGGCCTAGCCTACCTTCTTTTTTTTTTTTAGCCATTGTCCAGTCCTTCTGTACATGGTAGTAAAGGTTTGACTTCCTGTGTCCCTCAGTGGAGTCCAAAAATTCTATTGGCTTCTAAATTTTGTTTCCATCAGAGAGAAGTTTTTCCAAGAGGTGAATTCCTTGGCTCAGAAGCCCTCCCATCCAATGGCAAAAACAAAAACACTGGTGAAGAGTTTGATGAACCGAGCAGAGCTGCTATTGCATGTCACAATTGCAGCACAGTCTGGCATCACCAGAAGCATCTCTGGCACACCGACAGAGCCACCAGGTAACTTTTCCCTTTTTTGGGTACAATCATCACTGATCTAGAATTTGTCAACTCCAGCCTTAGCGTACAATGCTGATTTTCTGTAGAAAAGGGCAGTGTTACACCCTCTGGTGTATAGTCCATAGCTAGTGTGTGATTTCCAGTTATGAATACTCAGATATCAAGTGGCTAGGATGTAAAATGCTTGAATACTGAAAAATGGCCTGGATGGGAAGGGGGTTTAACACCGCGGATGTCAACTGGTTAAAGAAGAAACAGAATGACTTAAGTATTTGGTTCTCAAATGATTGCTTTCATTCTTTCTAGAAATTTGAATGGTAAGCATCTGTCTAGGCTAGCCGAATCTGTTAGCATAAGATGTCTAGTGGGGGGGTCTGGAAACGAAGCAAGGGATGGTTTCTCAGCAGAGACTTGGTAGATGTAGCTGAACTGAGCTTTAACATAACATATGTACACACCCCACAGCCTTTTCTTATTTTGTTACTGCTTTGTTTAACAGTTTCTAATGTGGCTTTCGTGTATTTTTCAGCATGCAAATCATCTGATGCTAAAGCAATATCTCAAGCAATGCGCCAGCCAGTTTTTCTCCGTAGCATGTCAGCACCTTCTGACCTGGAAATGATTGGAAACAGTGACCTGGAGTTTAACAGATCAAATTCAAGGTAGATATTATCTTCTTTTTCTCTTTTTTTTTTAGTCAATGTCTTTTTATTCAAATTACAGGTACAATAGGACAATGTCAAGTCAACTAAGAACCTCTGAGGGAAGGTCACCCGTTTACCTGGCAACCTGTCTGCCGTAATACGTTGACAGGGCATCTGAATAACAAATAATAAGTAGGAATATCTCAATGAAACAACA